GTGTGACTAATCAGAAGGTGGTATGACTACAAGATTTAGATTTAGACTTGAACAGATAAAACAGCATATGTTTAGATTATCAAAACTGAGCCATCTGCTTAAAGTCAGCTTTATGGGACCTGCATTGATGTATTGAGGCAGTGAAATAACTAATATCAATGAGATAGTCTTTTTCACTTACTGTTCATTATAAGTAGAATTCTTCTGGGCACCTCCTAGTAGTTGTGTTATTGCTTGGGTTTTAGGCTTTCCTTAGTCTTTGTTATGTTTAAAAGTGGCCTTGAGTCCTGCAAGTTAACTGAAGGAGCATTGGAGGAAAGGAAAACAGATTTCTGAAATAGTACAAAGGAATTATTTGATTAGTAAGGATTTTGTGATAAAACGGTGTGGAAATCCTAGAAGGTGTTTCCATATTCTTAGTGGCTAAACTACTCCCAAGGTTCTTTAGATCAACCCTTTTTAATCATTTATGTGGAAAATTCTTTGAAATAATTTTCAGGACTTGGGGAAACTCTATAAAATTTATTGATATAGCCCATGGTGTTTTATTATGATCATCTCCAATTCCCTGTTTATTATAGCTGTATTGATCATCAGAATACTCCAGTGAGACTGGTTTATTTTAATAGTGTAATTGTAATGTGTAAGGGGTCAAAAGGGAAATTGAATAATAAAAAGCTTTTAGTATTGTATTTTTGGAAAGTTGGCTTTAGCTCTACTGTCTTGAATAACCTTGAAGGGCACTTAAGGCAGTGTGGTAGGCTGAACAATGGCCACCTGGAGATGTCAGATCTTACCTAGGTCCTGGAACCTGTGTTACTTTATAAGAAAAGGGGATTTTTTTAGAGGTGATTAAACTAAGGATCTTGAGATGAGATTGTCCTAGATTGTCCAGATGGCTCCTAATTCCATTTGTAGGTATCTTTACAGGAGAGAGGCTGAGGGAGATTTGATATACACAGAAGAGGAGGAATTGTGACCACAGAGGCAGAGATTGATGTAGCTGCAAGTCAGGGAATGCCAGCAGCCGCCACGTGCCTCAGGAGGCAAGGAATAAATTCTCTCCTGGAGCTTCCAGAGGGAATGTGGATGGCCCTATGGACACTTCGATTTTGGCTCAGTAGGGTAGATTTTGGACTTCTGATCTCCCAAACTGTGAAGGAGTATATTTCTGTGGTCTTAAGATTTTGGGTTTGTGGTGATTTGCTATGGCAGCCCTAGCAAACTAATTGAAGCAGTGAGTTTTCCCAACCATTCTTCTTTATGACTTGTACCCTAGTTTGCAGCACAACAAGCACCTGAGAACCTTCTTAGAAAGTATATTTCTGTGCCTCATCACATATCTAGGAAATCAGAATTTATAGGAATGGGATCCAAGCGTGTGTATAACACATTGCCCAGGTGATTCTGATGTGCGCCAAGTTTGATAAACATTTCACTAGGATGCTGTATTGATTTCCTCTTGCTGCTGTAGAAAATTACCACAAATTTGATGGCTTAGAACAACAAGTTTATTCTCTTACAGTTCTGGGGGTTGAGGGTCCAAGGTTAGTGTTACTGGGCTAAAGTCAGCAGGGCTGGTTCCTTCTGGCTGCTCTAGGGAGGGAAAATATTTCCTTGTCTTTTTCAGCTTCTGGTGGCTGTCTGTATTCTCCATATTGAACGTGTGTCACTCCAGTTGTGCATATGTCATCACATCACCTTCTACTCTCACTTCTGGATCCCTCTTACAGGGATTATTGTGGTTGCATTGGATCCTCCTGGATAAACTAGGATGGTCTTCTTCAATTTCAGGTCCTTTTCTTGATTGCATCTGCACATTTTCTTTTTCCATATAGAATAACTCATGGGTGGATTGGAGTGTAGATATATTTGGCAGATGTATATAGGATTGGAATGTAGATATATTTGGGAGACCATTATTGAGTTTACCACAGACCCCATGATAACATCTCATGTAAAAACTGTAGGTGTAAATAAGGTTCAATAACAGATTGTCATGATTGATTAATCATGTATTCACCTAACCTTTTTTGGTATATTTTCCGAATAAAGTGATTTGGAGTCAAAAACATTTTTTTTGAAAAGATAGAATGATTCAGTAATAATTATCAATACTCTTGAGTAGAGAACATTTTTCTGTGGATATTTATTTGGCTAGGTTATTAACATATCCTTTTTATGTGGTTCCCATTTCCCACAGAGAATATCAACTCTAACATAAATCAATGGTGTAGGTAGAAGAAACTTTTTTCCCTTTTCAGGTAGAATTTTTTTCCCTTTAAAAATGTCCTCCCTTTTCCTATCTTAGCCAGTTAGGCCTAAAAGTCTTAGGAAGTTTTTCCATAATAGAAGATATTTATGCTATATGCAAGAGTAGTTTTTGCCCCCACAAAACAAGAATTGGCTTTTAGTCTTTCTTGGAGTATAAAAATGATAAAGTATAGATTACCTTTTTTAAAAAAAAATCTCTCTTTACATTAATTTTTTTTAAGAGAGAGAACGTGAGTGGTGGGGGGAGGAGAGCAGAGGGAGAGGGAAAGATAATCTTGAGCAGATTCCATGCCCAGCATGGAGCCTGATACAGGACTTGATCTTAAGACCCTGAGATCATGACCTGAGCTAAAATCAAGAGTCAGACACTTAACCGACTGAACCATCCAGGTGCCCCTCCTTTACATTAATTTTAACTCATAAGGTGTTCAGTGACAGAACAGCTGGGTAGAAGATCAACAAGGAAATAGAAGACTTGGAAAACACTATAAACCAACCAGACTTAACAGACCTCTAAAAGAACACTCCATCGAGCTGCAGCAGAATACATATTCCTCTCAAGTGCATGTGGAATATTCTTCAAGATAGACCATATTTTAGATTATAAAACAAGTTTCAATTAACATAAAAGGATAAAATCACACAAAATGTTTTCTTTAACCATATGGGAATGAAATTACAAACCAGTAACAGAAGGAAAGTTAGAACATTCACAAATGTATATAAATAACAGACTCCCAAATAGCCAGTAGATAAAAGAAGAAATCACAAGGAAAATTAAAAAATATTTAGACATGGATGAAAACAACACAAGGTACTAAAATATGGGATGCAGATAAAGCATGCTTAAAGAGGGAAAATTATAACTGTAAATGCCTATAATTTTAAAAGAAGAAAGATCTCAAGTTTATAATCTAACCTCTTACCTTAAGGAACTAAAGTTAGGGCAAACTAAACCCAAAGCAAGTACAAAGAAAGAATAAAGACTGGGGCAGAAATAAATATAAAGGAGGAAAAAATACAGAAAATCACTGAAACTAAAATTTGCTTTTTTGAAAAGATCAATTGATACCTTTTTAGCTGTACTTGCAAAGTAATAGAGGAGACACGACTAAAATCAGGAATGTGAAAGAACATCACTACTGATATTGCAGAAATAAATTATAAAGGAATGCTATGAGCAGTTGTATATCAAGAAATTAGATTCTTCATTTTCACAGCAATGATTCCTATTATACACAGTGGAAATACCTCTTAAAAGGCAAAATAATCACTACCAGATTTTCATGTATTTTTATTAGTGTTTCATATCATTAAATTTTCTCTTGCCATGAGTGGAGGCAAGACTTATTAGTTATTGGTGAATTTATATCTTTTAAAACTGTGGACAGAAAAATATGTTATTGCTTAAATGCTGCTTTTTTTGTTTAACCAGTTTTGTTTTGCATCTTACCTCCTTGATATGTGTCATATAAATGAAATGTGTATTCATTTCATTTTCATTTTGCTTCTATAGAAAAAACTTAATTTTGTTGAAATTACTCTGAGCAGAAGAAATTAATGTTTTCAACATGAAAAACAGTTTTTAGGAGTACATTTTTTTGTGTAAGAAGAGTTGGAGTTTATAAAAGATGGGATACAGAGAGGCTTTATCTAAAACAAGAGCTTTTAAGTTTTCATTTAAATTCCAGTTAGAGGCGCCTAGGTGGCCCAGTTGGTTAAGTGTCCAAGTCTTGGTTTTGGCCCAGGTCGTGATTTCAGGCCCCGCCTTGGGCTCCTCACTTGGTGCAGAGGCTGCTTAAGACTCTCTCTGTCCCCCTCCCCCAATAGATTAAATTAAAAATCCCAGTTAACATACAGTGTAAATTTAGTTTCAGGTGTACGGTATAATGATTCAACACTTCTATACATCACCCTGTGCTCATCATGGCAAGTGCACTCCTTAATTCCCATCACCTTTTTAACCCATCCCCTCACCCACCTCCCCTCTGCTAACCCTCCATTTTAAAAGAGGAGTTTGTAATCCAGGGTCCACAGATGGAATTATGGGGGGTATGTGAACCTGAATAAGAAAAAAATCACATTAATTTTTACTAATCTCTGATGAAAATTAGCATTTTTTCCAGTTATAATGTGGGCAATAAACCATAGTAGTATTAGTGATAACTGTGACTTTGTTACCAATAGAAATCAAATATTTCTATTATTGTTACTGATATCTCAAAATTATTTACCTTTATCAGGACTTCAGAATTTCAGATAATTCTTAGACTTGCTGCTATATTTTGTTATTTAATGCATTAACAAAGTACACATATTACTGTATCACAATGATGTTTAATATTTTGATAATTTATATATAATGGGTTTCTTTTGTTTTCCTATTTTACGTTTCAAAACATTATTCAAAGAAAGATGTCTATAAACTTCTCTATACTGCCACAAGAGTCCATGGCACAGAATAAAATTAAAATTCCTAATTTAGAAAAGCATGTTGGTTGACATAGAAAATTCTTTTTTTTCCTAAGTTTTTATTTAAAATCCAGTTAGTTAACATACAGTGTAATTAGTTTTAGATGTACAGTTTGGTGATTCAGTACTTCATACAACTCCCGGTACTCATCCCAAGTGTACTCCTTAATCCCCATCACCTATTTAACCCATCCCTCCACCCACCTCTCCTGATACAGAGAATTCTTATGTCTTAACTACTTTTTTTTGATCAGGTGTAGGTAATAGCAGTGAAGGTGGAAGAGGAAAGGCAGGTGCAAAACTTTTCCAAGATTTTCAGATGTTAAGTAGAATCTGGACTCATCCTTGGTGTTTGCAGCTGGACTACATTAGCAAAGAAAATAAGGTAAATCAGGTAGCCTAAAATCGATTAAGACATATCTGTTGGAAGCAGAATAACTTCAGGAAAAAGGTTGATCTATATAGACTTACTGTATATTGGAATTTTCCTTTGCTTTGTGGTACAGTAATTCAACCTATTTTATTTCTAGTTAATTTCTATATGTGAGAATGCATTATGATTATGGAAGGAGTATTAAATGTTATTCTTAACATCTGTATAACCATGGTAAAATGGTAAAAATTTAAAAAGTAACATTGGGTCAGTAGTATTAACTAAACAATAGACTTTATTATTTTTTTTAATTTAATTTAATTTTATTATGTTAGTCACCATACAATACATCATTAGTTTTTGATGTAGTGATCCATGATTCATTGTTTTCGTATAACACCCAGTGCTCCATGCAGTACATGCCCTCCTTAATACCCATCACTGGGCTAGCCCATACAATAGACTTTAATTGGATTTCATCAGTTTTTGTACTTATGTCCTTTTTCTTTTCCATGATTCAATCCAAGGTTTCACATTGCATTTAGTAATCATATCTGTGATATCTCCTTTCCTTTTTTAATCTATGGTAGTTCTTTCAGTTCTTTTTTTATCCCATGACAATTAACTTATCCTCAGGTAAAGTAAACATCATTATAATTTTCAATATAAGTTGAAGTAAACTATTAAAACATTCATCATTTTTTTTTCCTCTAGGGATACTTTGATGAAGACAGTATGGATGAATTTATAGCTTCAGATTCCGATGAAACCTCCATGAGTTTAAGCTCCGATGATTATACAAAGTAAATTGAATAATTTTTGTGTCCTGTGTTGACATATTTAAAATCCCTAATTGCTGATTGTTCTCTCATAATTGGCATTTGTATCTTTTCTGTGCTTTCCTAACAGTTTGAATTTGTTCCTTTTATAGAAAGAAGAAAACGAAGGGGAAAAAAGGGAAGAAAGATAGTAGCTCAAGTGGAAGTGGCAGTGACAATGATGTTGAAGTGATTAAAGTCTGGAATTCAAGATCTCGAGGAGGTGGTGAAGGAAATGTGGATGAAACAGGAAGCAATCCCTCAGTTTCATTAAAGCTGGAAGAAAGTGAGTCTAATGAATGTTGCCTTTATAATGGAACACTGATTTAGAAAATATCATGTCCATGCTTTTTTTCAATAATTAATTTATCCTTACTATTTCTCTCAAAGGAATATCTTTCCTAGATGCTTTTAGTAAGCATCTTGGATAATCAGGTCACATAATGACAAATACCTGGTGAATGTTTAATTAAAAGCAAGCCATTGTGCTCTGATATTTAAGAGAAAAAGAAGAAAGAAAAACTAATGTTTATTTATATGTATATAAACTAAATGCTGTATTTTCACTCCATGTGTTAGCTGAGTTAATTCTTGAGCAGACTTACAAGCTGTTGATATCTTTATTTTTATAAATGATCGGTAGAAGTGGGATTTAGACCTAGATACATCCAATTTCAGAGCCATGATGGTATTTTCAATTAACTACATGTAATAACTGGAAACATTTCATGTAATAGAGTATCATTGTAATTAACTTTATACAATGAAACTAGTGTTAATGTATTAGCCTTTTTCCTTTGTAATTCCTCATAATCTATAATTGTTGCATACTTTAAGTTTTCCCTTTTTCATATATAGTTTATCACCTCTTTTTAAAATTAATTTATTTCTTTTTTTTTAATTTAAATTTTAGGTAGTTAACATACAGTGCAGTATTGGTTTCTGTAGTAGTTTCTGGAGTAGAATTTAGTGAATCATCACTTACATACAACACCCGGTGCTCATCAAAATAAGTGCCCTCCTCAATACCCATCACCCATCTAGCCCATCCCTCACCCATCTCCTTCTCTCAACCCTCAGTTTGTTCTCTATCCTTAAGAGAGTCTTATGGCTGGAGGGTTGCGGGGGGGGAATGGGGTAACTGGGGGATGGGCATTAAGGAGGAGGGCACTTGATGTAATGAGTACTTGGTGTTACATGTAACTGATGAATCACTAAATTATACCCCTGAAACTAATAATAACTATATGTTAACTAAATTGAATTTAAATAAAAAAATTTTTAAAAAGAGTCTCTTATGGCTTGTTTCCCTCTCTCCTTTTTTCTTTTCTCCCTTCCCATATGGTCATCTGTTTTCTTTCTTAAATTCCACATATGAGTGAGATCCTGTGGTATTTGTCTTTCTCTGACTGGCTTATTTCACTTAGCATAATACATTCTAGCTCCAACCATGTCCTTGCAAATGTCAAGATTCTATTCTATATTATGGCTGAGTAATATTCCATTGTAAATATATATATATACCACATCTTCTTTATCCATTCTTATGTTGATGGACATCTGGGCTCTCCTCATAGTTTGGCTATTGTTGATAGTGCTCCTATAAGCATCAGGGTACATGTATCCCTTCAAATCTGTATTTTTATATCTTTTGGGTAAATACCCATTAGTGCAATTGCTGGATCATAGGGTAGTTCTATTTTTAACATTTTGAGGAACCTCCGTACTGTTCAGAGTGGCTGCAGCAGTTTGCATTCCCACCAATAGTGCAAGAGGGTTCCCCTTTCTCTGTATCCTCACCAACACCTGTTGTTCTTCTGTTGTTAATTTTAGCCATCCTGATAAGTGTGAGATGGTATCTCATCATGGTTTTGATTTGTATTTCCCTGATGATGTGATGTTGAGCATTTTTTCATGTGTCTGTTAGCCATCTGTATGTCTTTTTTGGGAAGGTGTCTATTCATGCCTTCTGCCCATTTATTAACTGGATTATTTGTTTTTTGGGTGTTGAGTTTGATAAGTTGTTTGTAGATTTTGCATACTAACCCTTTATCAGATACGTTGTTTGCAAATATCTTCTCCCATTCCATAGGCTGCCTTATAGTTTTGTTGATTATTTCCTTCACTGTGCAGAAGCTTTTTATCTTGATGAAGTCCCAGTAGTTCATTTTTGCTTTTGTTTCCCTTGTCTTTGGTGACATGTCTAGTAAGAAGTTGCTATGGCTGAGGTCAAAGAGGTTTGTGCCTGTGTTCTCCTCTATCACCTCTTTTGTTTTCTCTTTCTCCCCTTTTCTTGTGCATGAGTGTACACACAAGTGAAAGTCTGAATTTTTTATTGGCTGAAGTTGTCTTGACCCATATCTACATTTGAAGGATTAGTGTTGAGGCTCCATATATGCTTGGTACAGCCTGACTGGGTGTCTAGGAACTCCAAAGTTGGGACCAAATGTCTGAATATTTTAAATATAAAATATCTAAAGATAGAACAGTATAAATAGCTCTAAATATTTGTCATTGGGGCGCCTGGGTGGCTCAGATGGTTAAACGTCTGCCTTCGGCTCGGGTCATGATCCCAGGGTCCTGAGATTGAGCCCCACGTTGGGCTCCTGGCTCAGCGGGGAGCCTGCTTCTCCCTCTCCTTCTGCTCAAGTGCGCTCTCTCTCTCTCTCTCTCTCTATATATATATATATATATATATTTCTGTGTCTCAAATGAATAAATTAAAAAAAAATCTTAAAAAAATAATTATTTGTCATTTGAGAGTCATATAGCAAAGCAATCAACTGAAGAAAAGAGAGATATGGAGGCCAGCTTGGTGAATGACCCTGGGTTCAAACAAGCTTGGCTGGTTTTAGGTCTGCACCTGAACTAATTTGGTGATTCCTTAATAAAATTTCTCTTTTCAAGAGAATAGGGGGCAGAAAGTGTACTTGGAGGAATAATAGCTGAGAACTTCCTTGCTCAGAAACGCACATCCAGATCCACGAGGCACAGAAAACTCCCATCAAAATCAACAAAAGCAGGCTAACACCAAGACATATTCTAATTAAATTGGTAAACTACAGTGATAAAGAAAAATATCTTAAAACAGGACAAAAGAAGTCCTTAACTTACAAGGGAAAAGCCATAAGGCTTGCTGGAGATTTCTCAACAGAAATTTGGCAAGCCAGAAGAGAGTGGCCTGATATTTTCAAAGTGCTGAAAAGGAAAAATATGCAACCAAGAATACTTTATCCAGCAAGGCTGTGATTCAGAATAAATAGGAGAGGTAGAGTTTCCCCAGACAAACAGAAACTAAAGGAGTTCATGACCGGTAAATGAGTCCTGCAAGAAATATTAAAGGGGACTCTTTGAGTGGGAAAGAAAGACCAAAAATGACAAAGTCCAGAAAGGAACAGAGAAAATTTCCAGAAACAACAACAAACAAGTAATACAATGGCACTGAATACATAATCTATCAATAATCATTCTGAATGTAAATGGACTAAATGCCTCAATCAAAAGTCATAGGATGTCAGAATGGATACAAAAAAATAAGACCCATCTATATGCTGCCTACAAGAGACCCATTTTAGGCCTAAAGACACCTTCAGATTGAAAGTGAGGTGATGGAGAAACATTTATCTTGCAAATGGATGTCAAAAGAAAGTCGGAGTAGCCATACTTCTATCAGACAAACTAGGTTTTAACCAAAGACTCTAATAGGAGATGAAGAAGCATACTATATCATAATAAAGGGGTCTATCCAACAAGATCTAAGAATTGTAAATATTTATGCCCCCAACTTGGGAGCACCCACATATATAAAACAATAACAAATGTAAAGGAATTCATTGATAATAATACAATAATAGTAGGTGACATTAAACCCTTTTATGCGGACAGCATTACCCTGATAGCAAAACCAGATAGAGTCCCCTAAAAAATAGAACTAGAGGCTAATACTATAGATGCACATAGATGCAGAATTCTCAGTAACATTCTAGCAACCAAATTCAATACATTTAAAAAAAATCATTCACAGTGATCAAGTGGGACTTATTACTGGGTTGCAAGGGGGGGTTCAGCATTTACAGATCAATCAACTACATTATACTACATTAATAAAGGATAAGAACCATACAATCATTTCAGTAGATTCAGAAAAAGCTTTGACATAGTATAGCATCCATTCATGATAAAAACCCTCAACAATGTAGGTTTAGAGGGACCATACCTCATCACCATAAAGGCCATATATGAAAAACCCACGGTAATATCATGCCCAGTGGGGGAAAACTGAGAGCTTTTCCTCTGTGGTCAGGAGCAAGACAGGGATGTCCATTCTCACCACTGTTATTTAACATAGTACTGGAAATCCTACTCACAGCAGTCAGACAACAAAAAGAAAGAAAAGACACCCAAATTGGCAAGGAAGAAGTAAAACTTTATTTGCAGATGACAAGATACTCCATATAGAAAACCCAAAAGACTCCACCAAAAAGCTGCTAGAACTGATACATGAATCAATAAAGTGGCAGGATACAAAATGAATGTAGAGAAATATGTTGGATTTCTATACACCAATAATGAAGCAGCATAAACAAAAATTAAGGAGTCAGTCTCATTTATAATTTTATCAAAAGTAAGAATATAGGTAGGAACAAACTCAACCAAGAAGTTGAAAGATCTGTACTCTGAAAAGTATAAAACACTGATGAAAGAAATTGAAGAGGACACAAAGAAACAGAATGACATTCCATGCTCATGGATTGGAGGAACAAACATTGTCAAAATGTCTATGCTACCTAAAGCAATTTACATATAATGCTATCCCCGTCAAAATACCAAGAGCATTTTTCACAGAGCGAGAACGAACAAACCTAAAATTTGTATGGGACCACCAGTACCTCAAGTAGCCAAAGCAACCTTGAAAAAGAAACAAAAGCTGGAGGCATCACAATTTCAGTGTTCAAGTTATATTATACAGCCATATTAATCAAAATAGTATGGTGTGGTGTAAAAATACTCACATAGATTAATGGAACAGAATCGAAAGCCCAGAAATGAACCTACAACTCTATGGACAATTAGTCTTTGACAAAGCAGGAAAGAGTATCTAATGGGAGAGGGGCGCCTGGGTGGCTCAGTCATTAAGCGTCTGCCTTAACTCAGGTCATGATCCCAGGGTCCTGGGATTGAGCCCTGCATGGGCTGCTGCTTCTCCTGCTCCGCAGGAAGCCTGCTTCTCCCTCTCCCACCCCCCTGCTTGTGTTCCCTTTCTCACTGTCTCTCTGTCAAATAAAT